ACACAAACACTTCATTTACATATGTGCAAGTATCCTAAAAACTAAATCTCTAATTTCAGTTGAGATTAAAAAACATGTCACAGCTTAACACAAGGGAAGGCAAAAAATCAGACTGTTCCTCCCTCTACGAATTAGTGAAGGAGGCAGCACAAACCAACAAAATACCAGTTGACCCCAATCTAACACCTGAAGGTATGCTATATTTAGTATGTGAGTACTGTAAAGGATTTATTTATTTATGAATAGTGTTTTATTTTCTTCCTATAGATTTATTATTTTTGTTATATATCACCAAGGTATATTTGTTGAAATACACCCTTTATTCATTTAACATTTTTTCTCATTTTGCTTTTATCATTATTTTTCCTTTATGTTTCTGTCTGTTTTGATGATTGTGATGATGATGTTAATGGTTATTTGTATTTATTTATTTATTTATTTATTTTTCATTTTATTTATTCATTATTTTTACTAATATTTTATTGTTAATACTGTAATATTTATTATTGTGTTGATTACTTCTATTGGTGTCAGTATCAGCATTTGATTCTTTCTATTGGTAAATCTTGAAACAGACACTGCACAGAAATTCAGTAATATATGGGAATACCCATAAGGAATATAAACTAACATTAAACATTATAGAAAAAAAGAAAAAAGAAAAAAAGAAAACAAAACTATCTTGAAAAGGTAAACCCAAAGTCACATATCAAAGATACACCTACATTGTCTCAAGTCATTTTCATGGACTCAAAAATGATTTTCATAACACTTAATATTTGGTACTTTTTTATTTAAGGATTTAGCCAAAGGACACCAAACCTCTTGATGACTTGTTGTGAAATAAAGAATTAGTCAAAGCACTATGTTGTCAGATATTGTCACAGGGATTCAAACTCAGATATTCGATAATCCTGTATTACAAACGTATTGGTAGTCCGTGATGTACCCTGTATGTAATGTGTATTGTAATAAGGAATTAGGTTAACTCCTTTACTAGGTATATATATGCATATGATGTCACATTTTTACCTTTGTTGTATGTTTTATCATTACCAATACTTGTGTATATTTTTGACTAACATCATCATCATCATCATCATGGGGGCTGAGGACTAACATGTCCCATCATCCATCTGTGGGGTTCCCGTATGAATATTATCTTTGTTATAGCTTTTTGAACAAAGGTGAAGTTAAAGGGACTGTGAGAGGGCTAGTAAAACTACTTTATCCAGCCTAAAATTAGTATGTACAAGGAAGTGGAGAGTCAGTCAATCTCACTTGCTCCGTAAGAACCTCATGTATCTGTGTCAGGTTACATAGTGAGTTAATATATCATATATAATTGTGTTTCATTACCCATTAACCACAGTCATGTTACAGGCAACATTAATATGTTCTTGGAAAATAAGAAGAAACTACCAAGAATAAACAGTGAACGGTCATAAGATATCACCAGACTGACATAATCTAAGTACTATTGCTCCAATAACTGAATGCTCCATATCATTGGTTAAGTAACTATAATTATTATAAGAAAATAATGCAGAGGGTACAGTATTCCTTGATCTTCTCCAGAATGCGGAAGGCATGGAGATTTGAATATTCACAGGCCAAACCTGAAGTAGATACAGTCTTAGTGTCAAAAATTACCATTTCTCTTCCCTCATTCTCCATCCTATTTTTTGTTGTGATTGTTCTTTCTTATTTCATAATCATATATTTATCTTCTTTCCTTTTCTTTACTTCACCTCCTAATTTTTTTTTGTCTTTACAGGATTGGAAGAAATTGGCTTTGGTCCTTCTCCTGGTTTTTATTCCATTGTTGCGGAAAAAGATCACTCTTTGGTGGGATACGCGCTTTACTATTACACTTACTCAACATGGGAAGGACGCTCTGTGTGCATGGAGGATTTGTTTGTCACTGGGACAGAAAATCACAATGATGTTGCAACTGCCATGTGGAAGAAATTAGTGGAGGTAATAAAGATGGTTTGTGGAGAGTGCTTTATATAATCACATATAAAGTCTTTTCCTCTAATTATTTAGAGCCAAGGTTCTTTGAGCTTAATCTGAATGATATTATATGTAAATATGGTATCTGTTTAAATTTGTTATTCATTTTTACCAGGTTGCTCTTGCAGCAGACTGTGGGAGGTGTAACATAACAGCATTGCAAGATAAAAAGGAAATGCTAAATTTCTATGAATGTCATAAAGCTATAAACTTGACTAAGAGTGAAGCTTGGCACTTCTTTAGAATGAACCAGGATTCCATGGCAGAGTTTGTCAAAGGGTTAGTGAAAAGAGAATGAAACATGTGACATCTGGAAGTTTAAGATGAGATACTTTTTAAAAAGTTGTTTCAGGATTCTTTTTTTTCAGCAGTATGATTTTATGCCTTTTTTTTAAAGGAAATGATTTAAAAGTTTTTGTTTTTGCAGAAGCAAGGTTCCAGAAGGAATCACAATAAGGGAAGCCACTCCATCAGACTGCATTGG